CTTCGAGGCCCGCCCTAGCCCCCCCCAACCCCCAGAACCCGGCTGCCAGCCGCGGGCAGCTGTGGGGATTTCGAGGGGCCGAAGGGATCCTCCCGGGGAGATAAGCTTGGCTGCGGACCCTCCCTGGGACCCGGTGGCCGGTCGTCTGAAGGAGGGATGGAGGACGGGGGCGCCTCACAGACCCTGCGGGGGCTGCAGCCCAAGGTGGAGTTGATGGCAACGGATGCGCTTCGCAAAGCGAAAAGTAGGAGCTGCGTAAATGATGCTTACTGTCCGGAACCTCTAGCGGAGCCAGACGCCGTCCCCGCTGCTGGGTCGCCCCCGGGGCCCCTACCGAAGTGCACGCCGGGAACTGTAGTCCGCGCTCAGACTCGCGCAGCGGCGGGCAGCCCACAAACCTCGGGCTTCGGGGAGTCAGGCCAATGGTGAGACCTCTGCGGGGAACGCCGGGCTGGGAGGATGTGTTTCCTGTCCCTGGGGATAACACGGCCACGTCTGCCTTCCCACCAGCTACGAGTCCCTCTGCCTCTGCAGTCAGTACTCACCCTGGAGAATCCCCGCCCCCCATAATAGAAACTTCGAATGGGGAGTTGGGGGGGGAGAGGGCTTAATGTACATCTTGTGCTTTGCACACATGGTATCGTTAAATCTTCTCAAAGGCCCCATTTTACAGATGACGCATAGAAAAGTGAAGTGCAGGTCCAGAACTATGAATGACAAGGCAAGAATCAAAAGTAGAGTTTTAAATTAAAAAAACAAAAACATGATTTAAAAATGCCATCCCGTTTGTTTTGTTTTATTTATTTTTAAATTTTATTTTTTTTATTACAATTTGCAGTCATCACTTTTTTGTGTGTATTAGTGTAAGGTGTACAGCATAGCAGATAGACATTCTTAGAGGTTACAAAGTGTTTCCTCCGATAATTCAAGTGCCCACCTGGACCATAAATAGTTATTACAGTATTGTTAACTAATATTCCCTGTGTTCTATCTTACGTCCCAAGCCTATTTTTGTAACTACCAATTAGTACTTCTTAATCCCATCACCGTCGTGTGTTTTTTTCTTTTTTCTTTTACCCTGCCTCCCAACACCCCTCCCCTCTAAAATGCCATCCCCTTGAAAGAATGAAGAAACAGCCCTTCAGCGGTCAGTGACTTCCTCAAGATCTGCAAGCTTGTAAATGGTAAAATTCTGTAAATGGTAAAATTTTCACTTGGCCTCTCCTGAGCGGTCTTGGGGTTTTGGAGGGAGGACTGAACAGGGGAACTCGGATGGGCTCTGGTGCAGAAACTCCAGAGAACTGCCTCACAGCACCCCTGGGAAGTTGTTCTGCTCTCAGAGGGAAGTGGGCGCCTGGCAGCTGGCTGCCTGTCAGGGAAACTCAGGACCTATCAAGGATGCTTGTTGGAGGAGAAAGGACCTGCTTCATTCTGAGTACAGGCGGTTCTGTTATAACCTGAAATATGCAGTTCCTGAAAAACCTGGAGTCCTGCAACGTGAAATAACAGGGCTTTATGGTATAAGATAATAACTTCCAAACCTGTAGGAATTTTTTAAAGAGCTTTTTAGCATTTATTTGAGCCAGACAGAGGAGACGCCTGGAAGCAAGATCTCAACAGACTGTGAAACATGCTTCCCAGAATGACAATTTGCAGTTTCTTTTTTTGCTCTTGAAATTAAAGAGGAAACATAAGGAAGATCACATGAAGGTGGGAGAAAGTAAGGCAAAGATGGGATTACAGGATCGTTAACAATGTGCTCTCTTTAGGGTGGTTACCTTCTGAGGGGTCTGAAAAGAGGCATTTTAAACGTGTGTTAATCTAGATGCACAGAAACAATAGACAGGGCTGGTTTGAGGCAAAGATAACCTTTTACTAAAGAAATTATATGCCTGGGTGTGACGACCCACCATGAGTTGCCTGCCCTGTTAGGAATTTATAATCAGATCACCCTGTGAGGTTACTTTTGGTTAGATTTATTTCAGCCCCCTTTTTTATCCACAATGGGGAAAATAGAATTAGGGACGGATTGCCCAAAATGTCTGCAACTTGATAATCAGAGTGCTACAGAAACAGTGACTATTCTAATAGGAATACCAGCACAGTTAAATTCCCACCGGCATTTGTGCTTAGCAACACCTCTGTCTGCCTTTGTGATCTTAAAGGCTGGGGCTTGTCTGGAGATACTAACTTCTAATGAAGACTGTTTTCATCAAAAACGTGGTCCTAGGTGTAGTCTCACTACTCTGTTACTTTAATATGGGAGAGTATGTTGTAGGTTCTTCACCTGCATTTCCAGCTTTGCCACAAACCATAACACTGTAGCCAGCACAGTGGTCTTTGAAGCCAAGTCAGCCACTGTGGATATGAAGGAAGATGTTTTCTGTAGATAATCAACTTTTCCCCTTAAGATCTTTTACTACTAACGCTGCCCCTTTAACTCTGAAAAAGCTGGCCCCTGATTGCTTCAAAATTAACTTCCTGGAAAAAATTGCATATTAACCAATATGCTTGTGTTATGCTGACATCATTACTCTGTTTACCAACTGCTTATGGGGTGATTCAAGTCAAAGAAGCAGGTGGGCCCAGCCGGCGTGGCTCAGTGGTTGAGTGCTGACCCATGAATCAGGAGCTTGCAGTTTGATTCCTGGTCAGGGCACATGCCCGGGTTGTGGGCTCCATCCCCAGCAGGAGGCAGCTGATCAATGACTCTCATCATTGATGTTTCTCTCTCTCCTCTCCCTTTCTCTCTCTAAGAAAATCAATAAAAACATATTTTTTTAAAAGTGGAACACCAAGAGGAAGAACGTGAATGTCTGGGCCCCTAGGCCGCCTCTGCAGTCCTTCATTGAATTGGGAGCTAATTTACACATAATTAATTTCGCTCATTCACTTTTAAATTAATTATATCCTATCCCTTGCTTTCATGGACAACAAATTCATTTCCTCATTTATCCAGTGGTTACTGCCTTTATTCAGAGACCCCCGAAGGACTGGTAAATCCTAAGACCAAGGCATGTCTCTGTTGTGGGCTGAATTGTGTCTCCCCCTACTCCCACACCCACATCCATATGTGGAAGCTCTAACCCTCAATGCTTCAGAATGACTGTATCTGGAGACAGGGCCTTAAAAGATGTGATTATGTTAAAATGAGGCTGTTAGGATGGGCCCCAATTCTATCTGACTGGAGTCCTTATAAGAGGCAATTTAAACACACGGGGACACCAAGGGTGTGTGTGCACAGAGCAAGAAGGCAATTGTCTGAGCCAAGGAGAGAGACCCCAGAAGCCGAATCTGCCTACACCTTGATCTTGGATGTCTAGCCTCCAGAACTGTGAGAAAATACATTTCTGTTGTTGCTTAAGCCACTCAGTCTGTGATCCTTTGTTATTGCAGCCCGAGCAGACTGACACTGTCTCCAATGCTGTGATTTCCGACACCTCAGCCTAGACGGAGG